AGAGCTTGGGACAATAGAGAAACTACGGTTGTGAGTGCGCGACTGGGGCTGTGACTGGGGAAGGGTAAGTGTAGCATGTGGGCCATCGTAAAACTGGACCAATGATGGAACCCCCGGGGTCGCTGAAATAGACATATTTGACATTTCTGTTGCCAGAGAAGGTTTCGATGTACTGGCTTGGGTCGTAGTGGCAGAGCTAGAGGTTGCTGCTGCTGCACGAGCCCGTCTACGGCCAGCTTCTGTAAGGAGGCCCTGCTCCGCTTCAATCTCCCATTGCTCTTTTTGTGGCTCTTCTACCCTCGCAGGAGTAGGGGACACTACCGACCCCCTGCCTGTGTTTGTACGCGGCGAAGCGGGGGTTGTAGTTGCAGCGGCCCCAAGTTTCGACGAAACTTTGCGAGTTCGTGCACGATTTTCTGCTTCAATCTCCCATGCTTCTTTGACTGGGCCTGGTTTACCGGCGATGACGTGGAGCTTCACTGTAGAGTTTGTGTTGGTAGGACCAATCTCAAATTCTCTGTCGCCCATTGCGTCGGCGACTTTGTCCTCCGATAACTTTTCATTGTCACCTAAATCCAGCAATTGAAGCGCAGGAAATTTACCCATTTTTGTCGGAAATCCATCGTCTATGAGATCACAAGAGGCCATTCGAAGGATCTTCAGACGCTCTAATCCTTCTAGAGCTGTCAAAAGAGGCTTTGCAGGCCCCAAAGGGTTATTTGATATATCCAGTTCTAAGAGTTCTTTTGGTAAATGCTGAGGTGGGAACGTATCGGACCGTAATTGATTGTGCGACGCTTGAAGGACTCGAAGAGACGGTAGAGTGACTTTGGCTCGCTCGACTGTAGCACTGAAGAAGCTTTCACTTCGTGCCCTTGACATTGATTCAGCTTGAATTATTAATGGTATCTGAGTTAGTTTATTGTGGGAGATATTCAATGTTGAAAGGTGAGGTAAAGAGGCGAGCTTATTGGGTAACTCTTCAATCTCGTTATACCTATTATGTATGAGCATTGCTTCTGTGAATAATACAGTACTTACGACAAGTCAAGATTTGTAAGGAACATCAGGTCCATAAAGGAGTCTGGCAGCCCCCGTAGTTTATTCTTATGTAACTGGAAGCAAAAAAGTCAGAGAAGCTCAGTCAACACAAGAGAGATACGAACGTCTATAATTTTCAAAGACCCGAATAACGAAATTTCCGGTTGTATTTCTACCAGTTCATTGTCCCAAACCTTCAGAGAGGTGAGGTCCACTTGCTCATACCAGGTAGTGTTACCCGATCTCTTGATCTTGGAGGGTGCTTCAGGCTCCACTACTTCAGGAGGAGCATTTTTCAAGGGCTCGGGGGTCATAGAGAGGTGGGTTTCGAAAAGATATGTGGGTATTTGCGTAAGCTCTCGCGAAGCGAGAACGATAGAGCCTTGAGGAATGATTTCAGTTCAATAAATTCGTGAGAGAAATAGAACACTTACCGCTAGATTTGGCCCTGTCAATGGTATCACGAATTGACCATCTGCCTAAAATATCCTCATCTGGGCCATTGACGCTTGACTCGGCGACGGAACCTTCTTCCCAATTATCACTTGCAGCGGATCTGGTAGATGTTGCTTTCTTTTGCTGTTCTGCACGTCTCAGAGCGATCTGCTCTTTGATCGACAGAGTTCTCTGAGACGGAGGAGGCGGGATTTCTTTTGCAGGAGGGGTAACGGGTGACTTTGCTGATGACTTTAACTTGGATGCGGATACTTTGGTTCTTAGTGTCGGTGGGGCCGCAAGTTTACGCTCGGGGCGGCTCGGAGTAGACGTGGAGGCAGAGGCAGGAGTGGCTTTCGCCTTTGGCGTTGCTGAAGTCGTTCTAGGTCGTGGAAGACGTGAAGAGGACATTTACTTTTAAGAGTCACGAAGCAGGCAGGAAACGGACGATTCACAAGCCTAGTCCCACCTGAACCCCGCTCTCAATACAAGCTCCGGCGCATACGCATCCGCAAGTGTTTCAATTGCAGCTAGTGACAAAAAATACGACAGCTATTTGGGATCAAGAAGGGGCAATTAAGTATACCTGACTCTTTTTATTTTCTCTACGTTGTCACTGAATTACCATTCCAAGTCGACATCCTTCAAGGGGACCGAGATCTTGATCCGCTTTGAACGCCTTAGACTTGGGCTACTTTGTTCTTGCAATCCTTCGCTTCCCATCGACTTGCGTTTCCTACGAGACGGAAGTGGCTCTAGAAGCCCTGATTTCATTCGTGGTTGTATTTGGCTGACATCCATTGGACTGTCCTGGGTTGGAGGAATATGCTCTTCGTCCATAGCATTTGTTTGGCCTTGGTTGTATGAGATGTTGGATAAAAGTGAGCTTCGAGTATCAGGTCCAGAACCCATGCTAAAGAAAGGTAAGAGATGCGCCACACTGGTGATCAAAAGGTGCAACTACTTATGGCGAGTCTGCTACAAGGCGTTAGGATGGAAAATACTCA